AAAAAGTAAGTAATAAAAATGTATTATAGATGGAGAACCAAAATCATGATCCCATTTTCAATGTTTGACTCTAGTTGGAGTGATAGCACAGCGGTAGGGCGTTTGCCTTGCATGCAGCCAACATGGCCAACCTGAGTTCGATTCCTCCGCCCCTCTCGGAGAGCCCGGCAAGCTACCGAGAGTATCTCGCCCGCACGGCAGAGCCTGGCAAGCTCCCCAGGACATATTCGATATGCCAGACACAGTAACAACAAAGTCTCCAATGGAGACGTTACTGGGCCCGCTCGAGCAAATCGATGATCAACAGGAGGGCCAGAAAAGAGATAGGGGAAATTAGAACCAATCTGATTCCAATCGGTAATTTGTAAGGCTTGCTGTTTTAGAGTCACTTGGAGTCTTTGAGCATCAAAATCTTTACAGAGTTGTAAGAGTAGTAAAGCTTTCAGCTCAGTGTGTAATAGATTAAACAATGTAAGAGCAAAATTATAATTGTTTTCTCGAATGGTCAAAAGATTCCAAGACTAAAACTAGTTTATTTCCCTTCTATCAGAAAGTTCTTCATATCTTTTCCACAGAATTAGAATTAAGGAAAAATAATCTATTAGTAGTCTAAGAGAAGACTACTAATTATCTTCATTCCAATCTTGATGTACTAGGCTTCTTATTTTTATAATATTTTGAGGAAAATTTTCTGTAAAATTGACAACTTTAGAGATTTAGCCAGCTGCAAACTAAATGGATTCTCTCAATGAACACTTACATTCTTTCCAAGAGCTCATGGTAGATTAAAAAGCTAAAATGCATAATTAAATATGATTGGCTAAGTGCTTTTTTCAAAGATATGTGCACGACATACAACAGTCTGAGAAAAAAGCAATTAGTGTAGATTTTGGATCTGGGCATTTCTCCATTACTAAAAAAAATGGGCAGACATTCACTTCTATTACTAATCTAAAATTAAGAAATCTCACAAGTACAGGCCATATGCTAAATTAGAGACCATATTTTCCAAGACAAGTAGATTTCTTAAAAATGATCTCACCCAAACACGTATGCTTAATCTTATTGGAGCTTACAAACTTATGCTCTAAAAATTTCAACTAACAGCTCAAAGCAAATTGTTTCACAAATAAGAAGATATATCAAATATTTACCATTATATTTTAATATTTACTTTCACATTTTTGCCATTGCCTTCACAGTGGTTCCTTTATCATTTTTCCACCAAAATTTTAAAATAAAATAATTTTTATCCAATAATTTCAATTTAAATGAGTAATCTTATATGGAGTTTTTCAAGTTAAAACACTATCTTTTATCAAGCACACATAGCTTATAAATAAATATAGCCTGAAACTGGCAAGAAAGAACAACATTTGTTAGGAAAACAGTATCTAAATCTAGCCTTGATTTTGTCTACAATTGACGAAGGTAACAGGTAGCTTAATATATTTCTAAGGAGAAAGACTTATACTCTGATGGACAAATCATAATTTATGAGAAAAGAAAGTTCTATATTATTTGATTTCATGGAAAACTCTTTCCTTCTTCTATCCTTTTCTTAATATAATTGCAAAGAAAAATAGTAGCGCATTTATTTTAATTAATTTATTTACTTTAACTTTAACTTTTTACCTCTTACTGAATTCAGTTGAAAAGAAATAGCAGTGGAAAAGAGAGTGAGATCTTCAGCATTTTCTGAAAAGGATAGTAGGACACAGAGACTAAAAAAGTAATTCCCATAGCAAAACTGTCTATATATATATATATATGTGTGTGTGTATATATATATATTATATCAGTGTAGTGTTGAGCTTACTGTAAACTAAGATTCATGGACAGCCATAAATAAAAAGTGAGATGATTAATTTGTCCCTTTATAATATTTGTCATTCCATTCTCAATGGAATCTTGGAAAAGAGTCTATTGACAGGAGATTAAACCAAAAACACTGAATTCAACATGTTAAGCTACACTTTACATTCACTTAAAGCTTTGATGAATCTACGCTAAAGATGCTTTACTCATAAACATTCAAAGTGGGGGGATATGATAAAATATGGAATGAGCTATAAATTTGTTTTGAGGCAGACAATAAGTTACAGAAGTGTCAGAAACCTCATGTCCCTGCCAATAATATGTACTCTTTTGAAAATTATGGGTGATTAAAACTGAAACCAACCCAGTGATTCAATGGTAGCTTAACGTCTATAGCAAGAAAAATCTGTATTTCACTTTGAAAAAAGCTCTGCTTTTAAAGTAGCATTATTTTAGGGGATTAATTATATTGTATACTATGAGATGGAATGTGTTATTCAGCATGGGTTTGACCACCTGATGGAGAAATCTTTGCATTAATATTTGAATATATTTTATCATTCTTTAACTAAGGAATCCTGGAGCATAGACTGTAACAAGAATATGGCAGACTCTAACAAGAATATGGCTCTGAACATCAGCCTACCCCTTAATTATAATAATCCATATGATATGCAAGGGATCTAAGAAAAATTCTATGATTTAAATTATTTCAAGTTGTTAATCCTCTCTCAAATAGTTGTTTCTGGTAACTATAGCCTTAATTTTCTCACTCAGTCCAGAAAATAAGTCACGTATGTTTTAATGACATGAGATGAGTTCTGTTTTTACAATAGAACTAAATTGCCAGATGTTTTAAAGTTACAGCCATGAAAGGAACAGTACAATATCATTCAAGAAATCATGTTAAAAAAATGAGCTCAAATCTCTTGAGATAAAACAATTGTGATTTTAAAATGCTGACAATGTAAAGTTACTTATAGGAACACATAACTTGGGAAAATCAACAAAACTGAAAATAAAGAATTATAAAAAGAATCTAAAGGAAAAAAGTACATCATCTGACCTATGAACCATTCAAATATTTATGGCCCTAAACTAATTTACCTTATTTAAGAGCATGTTACCCATACAGTGTTTATAATAATAATTGACCCTCCAAAGAGTAATAATATATTTAATTAGGTATCATAATATTTATATTTTGCTGCACTAAAAGGAATAGCAATAATTTTTCTCGAGTATTTTATTCAAAAGTATAAATGAAGTCCTATTCCAAGATTTTTAATTGTGTTAAAAGTATATTGATATTATTATTCACATTTATGAAATGGGTTGGTGGTGAAATTGGAAAGTAAGTGAATAAATAACAAATCAACTGTAATCTCTAAAATTCACTTAATTGGAAGAGAAGAAAACTCACAGATATTCTGCAATTAAAGACTTTTTATCACAGAGATATTTTTCAAAATGAATAACTATAATATAGAAAAACTAAATATCATAGTGGTATCATACAATTTTACAGTACCATGCAATTTCATAGTGAGTTCCTACTTTCCCTGTCAGGGTGTTGAGGAGTGATTTTTCTCCATTTCTATGAAAGCAGACTCTTGTGAACACATTTCAGAAATGCCCATCTTATATAATCATAGGGTGTTCAGTAAAGCAACACGGTCACTGGGATTCAACAAAAAACATATCCTGTAGGGTAAGGGGTGACTGAGGATGTAGTCACCTTATATATCCTCTGGAAACCTCCTCAAACCTGTACTTTAGACACAACTCATCTGTTAATGAACTATGTCACTGTCCTCCCGCTGTTCATCGATTTGCTCGAGCAGGCCCAGTAACGTCTCCATTGTGAGACTTTGTTGTTACTGTGTTTGGCATATCGAATATGTCACGGGCAGCTTGCCAGGCTCTGCCGGGTGGGCGAGATACTCTCGGTAGCTTGCCGGGCTCTCCGAGAGGGGCGAAGGAATTGAACTCGGGTTGGCCATGTTGGCTGCATGCAAGGCAAATGCCCTACTGCTGTGCTATCGCTCCAGCCAGAAATTCAGAATGGATTAATAAAAAGCTCCAAATTTCTCTGTAGCCATGTGACCATCTAGTTCAAGGCACTTAAATATATAAAACATTGATTTGGGTTCACATGTGGATAACTGAAATTAAATATCAGATACATGAGCTATAAAACGTACTGTCCACTCATAGTCACCTATGTGCCTGCTTGGCAGGTCCCAGTGAGAATTCTCACCTTTGAAAGGAATAATCATACTCATCTTATCTAAAACAAGATCATGCAAATTTTTTATTCCCCAGGTCATGCCAAAAGAACAAGAATGGAACAAGACTGTGGATACATAAATATCAATCAAAATATGACCTTGTTGGCAATAATTAATATTTTGACAATAATCCATTGAAATGCCGTAATACATGGTAATGGATTAAAATATGAAACAACACATGGACCAGATATCATAAAATAACTTATGAAATGAATGATTTCATAGGATCCAAAACTGATTACACTTCCATTCTGATCTGATCATCAATTTAGCTATCACTGGAGCATATGAGATGTGCTTAGGTTAATTTATTTACAGAAGCAGAAGCCTGTGGTTTTATGATGAGTGACTCTTAATAGCAAAGCAAGAATGCTCTGGGCTATGTGAAAGCAGCTGGGTCATTGGAGAGAGCACTGTTTCTCCCTCCCATTCATGGAGATGGAATCAGTGACTAAAAATGGATGAAGAGATTGAGTTCAGAATGGGATTTAAGGTGTTAAGCTGAGTACTCAGGTAACAAATTTTCATCTGGAAAAATCTACTATCAGTCACCATTCCTGACCAAGGAGGCCAGCTCTTCACATATAAACTCATTTTACCTCTATTTTTGGCCAATGTGAACAAAGATGAAAGCTCTTAACGTCATTTTTTTCAATGGCAAAGAATATAAATATCTGCATCTGCATCAAATCTGTTTGAAGCTAGACTCTCCATGATAAGTCAGTGTCTCCAATGCTTTCCACCAAGATGCTTTCATCATAGGATTCTGAACAAGCAACAGCATTTTACTTTAGCAGAAAAGGAACTTTAAAGCAAAAATCTTCCCCCAAAAATCTAGAAAAAGTAATAAAAATGTAAAATTCACTCTGCTTTTGAGCCAACACTGACCTTCTGTTCCAATAGAAATATGTTTGTAGGGATTGCTGCCAGAGCCTTGTAGCTTGACTTGGTCTTGTACTGCTGGAATGGGTAACCAGAAAGTAAGAGTGGGGATGAAAAGAGGAACGAATACATGATTTTTGAATACTAGTTCTACTGAGTTAAATGATGTTATTACATGAAGAAAAGAGGTTTTAACGCTTGAACAACTTTTTTTCTAAAAAGTTAGCTGGCTTGTGTTAATATTTTATTAGAATGAGGGTAGCAAAGAAATATCACAGTAAAGTATCATACAACCTGTAATTGCCTATAATTTCATAGGCAATTACAGGTTGTATGTGTTATAACTTAAAACACCCATTTCTACAGTAAATTCTACTGTAAATTCTCATTAACAGCATTTATTCATAGGATGAGCAGCAGCGTTAGTCCACCAAATACTATAAATATTGATTGTTGGGTTTTATTCTACTTGATATTACAGGAAAGTGGCTCTTTTTTCTATAGTACAAAAAAATTAACGAATACTACACCAATAAATTATTGATATGTTTCAGATAAAAGAATATAAAATATAAAAATATATGTTTTTATATTTATAAAAACAAAGACTACATCAAGCTGAGTGACAAATGCTTAACAAGCAGTAAATTAGTCAATATTTGAAGCATAGTAATATAAGCAACTTAGCTCCATAACAAAAAATGGGAAGACCACACTTAATCTTAAATTCACTTTTATAAAAATCATGGTTTCATATACCATTTTAAGACAATGGCCTTAATGAACCAAATAATAAAATTTCATGATTTTTAAGTAAAATTCAGAATAGGGCCAGAGAGACCATATTGGAGGGGGGCACATGCCTTGCACATTGCTCATCCAGGTTCAACCCTGGGTACCACATATGGATGGCCCAAGCCCAGGGAGTGATTCCTGAGCACAAACCCAGGTGTAAGCCCTGAGCACAGTTGGGTGTGATCTCAAAACCCAAAACAAGCAAGCAAACAAAAAAAAACCAAAATAAAATATTGTATATTTTGGGAGGTATTTGGGGAAGAGAATTAAACTTGAGAAAGCTGCAGGAATAGGGATAATGTAGATAATTAAAGGTTGCTTGGGGCACAAGCAGAGTGTCCATCAATGGATGAAAGAATAAAGAACACGTAAATTTTATAAGATGGAACATTATTTGGCTTTAAAAATATGAAATCTCAATATTTTGAAATAACATGAATTTTTATATTAAGTGAAATAAGTCAAACAGATAAAAAAATTAATCAAGCTTATAGATACAGAGAACAGACTGGTGTTTTCCAGAGGAACAGGGGTGTTTGAGGGAAATAGGAGGAAGGTCACTTGCTACAAAGTTTTAAGTAAAAATAAAGTCACTTGAATATAATGCTCAGCATGGCAAGTGTCATGAATGATACTTTATTGTAAAGTTGACAGTTGCTAAGAAAGTAGAAATCAAAAGCTTCCACCTAAAGAGAAAAAAGTGTAACTATATATCACGGTTAATGTTAAACAGATTCATTGTGGAAATAATTTCACAATATTTCAAAATATAAAATGAACTGCACTTTATCTTTGAAAGTATACAATGTTAGAAGTCAACTATACCTCAATAATTAAGATATTTTAGCTCATTTTTAAAGTATCGTCCTGGTCCCAGTTTACTTTGTGAAGGTTCTAAAATTTCTATAACTTCCAAAAGTCCCTGTTTAGAATAAAAATACAATAAAATACAATAAAACCTTGAGTCTTTTGGGGTGCTAGACATTTTGATATACATACTGGGTGTAAAAGTTAGGACAACAAGAACTTATTTTTCTTCTTCGAAAGGGGATTCAACTACTTTCTATGGCTGATGCAATCTATTGAGATTCCACTCTAGGCCCGTGAGATCACAAAGCAAATTCACTGGCCTTGAGAAAGATGATCTGAGCGCCTAGTTACACTTCAGTGCAGGTGAGTGAGAACCTCTGTTATATGGAAAACAAGAAGCAGTAACCTTCCTGAAGAACTTCCTTGGCACAATGCCCTCTTCTCCTTCTAGAAGCATCTCTGTGGAAAGAGTGAAAGAGTGCACTTTTCATCACTCCTATGCTCACACTCCCCGTTCCTCTGGCCATGCCTACACTGCCTCAGAGTCTCCCTGACATTAACACCGAGATGAAACCACAATACTCAATTCACAGAAAGAGACTTCCTGATAATGAAAGGTAAGGTGGCGGGTGATGTCAAAATGTGGCCATAGACCACGGATTAGGAGAGAAGTACCAACTGAGAAAACTTTCCTGAACAATTTTCCATGACTGATGTATCTTTTTAGGGTTTCTAACATCCTACATTTATAACATTTAATTGTATTATAGTATTTTCTCTCCCTATAGATCTAAGTCTTTTACATAACAGAAATTGAATTTTTAAACACTAATACCAAATGAACACAAAATAGATGTTTGGTAAATGTTTGTTGACCCAATTGGCAAATATTGGTTTCTCAAATTAAATGAAGAATAAGATTAATTAAGATGAAGAAAAAATTAAATTTAATTCCTTATTTACTGTTAAAATCCTAGACAAGTCTGTCTATAGAGACCCTTTTTCTACTTTCACGCTTGTCCTGAAGGCAATCCAATATGCCGAGCTTCTGATGTCATTTTTCTTCAATGTTGTGAACTTAAAAGGTTTGAACTCATATTAAACACTGCTTTTTTTTGTCTTTTAAAAAGTCTTTTCTTTGAGATAAACAGTGCAAACCACCTCAATTAAAATGCAAATATTCTCTAAAGAGTTAAAAAAGATACATCTATCCATCACTAACCTTGGGTGCGAATCAGTGCTAACACAATTCATAGCTGGAGAGGATCAAGAAAATGGGACAGAGAATTAGCACAGATATGGAAGTCACAGATATGAGGAATGGGAGAAAAAGGAAAATCTAGAATCCCCAGAGAGATATCAAGAATTTTATGGATGAAACAGATTGAAAGACATTAAACAAAAAGAGATAAAAAGAAACAAGAAGTCACGTTCGTCTCGTTTCAGCTGCTTTTCATTTCATATGTGCGACTTCAATCTTTGCTGAGTTATTTTACATGCAAAATATGTATTGAGACATTTTCACCTTCCCTGTTATAACTTCACCAGATTTACCATTATTTGCCTGCTTTGTTCCAAGAGTCTAATATTGCCTTACTTTCTCCTTCAGACTAATAACCTGCAGCACATAGATAAGACTCAATTATATTTTCATGCCCGTCCCACGGCTTTCTGTCCAACTGAAATTAAAAACAAGACATAGAAGTAGCCTATAAGACTCCAGACTCCTGGTTCCATTTCTCTCTGATAACCATAACTTCTTTACTCATTGGACACACTGATCCCTGTATGTTCTTTTTATCTTTGTTCTTTGTTCTTACAAGCTCTTCCTGATGATTTTGCTGATTGTATTCTTTTAAGAACCATCACCACCTTGGATGTCACCTCAAAGAAAACATCTGGGCCACTGAATATAAACTGGTGTCACCATACTTTATCCTGCTATACTCTTCTCTGTGTACCAGTTATGACCGCAATGCATAAAAGTTACTGGGTAGGGAGTGGTCTGGGGAGAAGGAGCAGTAAAGTTTGTTTTTAAAAAAATCTTAAGGTTACTGGGGTTTAGAGTACTGCTAATTATACTTTTTATGAGTATACCATTACAACACTGCCCCCAGCACCAGTGTCCCAAAGCAGTATAGGTTATAATGTCTCTCCCTCACTAAACGGAAATTTTCTGTGAGCAGGCATTAGTAATTTTTTTTATTTGTGCACTGTCCTCTGCTGACTAAAAAAATGTTCTTGCACATTATAAGCACTGAATAGCCACGTATTGAATAAATGAAAAATATTTGTATAAATCCAGATTAACTCGTTTTGCTCATAGAGGTACAATCCATATTGTTCATTTTCCTGGTTACATGTGCTTCAGCAGAAACAGAAAAAGTCACAAAGAGATTGTTACCAACAAGTTTCCCACATGATGAATTTGGAAATGCTGTGATACCCTGAAGGAATGAGAATTTATAAATCAAACACTAGCTATAAAATTATATGAAATATCAAAAAGCTTCCAACTGATTCCCTAAACAAGTTGTGGTCAAATTAGCTTTAAGCTAGGGTAAGCATACCACTGAAGGGTCTCAGAGCAAAAAATAATAATAATAAAGAGTTTCAGATTATTTTCAGTGAGTGAGAAACTTTATGAAGTTTTGATATAATGGCCATTCCCAAATTCCCATGCAGAAAACCATGATAACTTACTAGGAGAAAAAAATAATTTTATAAATTTTATAAATAAAAGCAAAGTAAATCGGGGAAAAATGTAATTCTATGAATTAATTTTGTGATATTTTGTCTTTTCCAGAAAAAATATATGATACAACAGATGTCAACAGTTGTATTAAGCTGAGCAACAGTTCTAGCTGCAAACCCTGTGTTGGATCATGATTTTAATATACAATAATATTTTCAGCCTTCTCTGAACTTCAAGTATAGTAATTATATCATGCTAATGAAAACTGAATTACAACCCTAAGATTCTATCTATGAAAAAGAAACATCAAACATGTTTTATACCTAATTTAGTTCAGCATACTGTAGCGGTTCCATTTTATTTTAATATCAAAGGACAGTGGGGTCCAGTCTTTGAACTAATATCCTTGAAGCATTTGTGTTTTAATTTGATGGCCATCTGTATATTAGGATATTTTTGCTCTGGGGAGCTGGCACTGAGTGAAGTTGATTGAAATCTAAAGCTCTCTGACTTCAAAGAGAGCCCGGTGCTTGGATTAGCTCCATAAAGGAAAGGGTTAGACAAGAAACAATTCATGACCACATATAAGTCTTTTAAATGCCAAATATGCTGTCTGTTTCTTGCTAATAGTATCAAATAATCTTATCAAGTTAGATAAAACATTACAAAAAACTGAGATAGGGTTTATCTATTTAGGAATCAACATCAATGAAGTTATAAACCCTACAAGTAATAGCTTATAATACCAAACAGAAAGATAGTCTGATTCTATGGAGAACACAGCAAGAAGCAAAGAAGAAATAAATGAATATGATGATGTAGAACAGTATATGTCAGAAAATGACTACTATGCAGAGTTATCATAAATTTTGCCCATTCTGAACATTTTCCTATTTAAAGAAATGGATAAAAAATGATGAATTATGATTCTTTGCACTTTCATATTCAGCAATTTTTTTCTAGAATTCCATAAGTTTTATTTCTGTTAACTGTATAGAGGTATTGTTTTAAAAATTATTGTCAAAAATTTATGAGTGGGAAATAGTTGGATTGCCATTTTATAACATGCTATTAAAAATTCTGTAATCACACATATAGGTTGAGAGCATAGTGGCTAGAATATTTTACTTCAAATACACAAAATTTTAAAATTTAAAATTATAGAGATTTTATTTGCTTTGCCCATTTGTATTAAAGTTTAAAATACAACAATTTAATAATCTCTATAAAGATCATAAACTTTGGGTTTCTGGTCATTATTCCATAGCAATGATTTTCTTCATAAAATTATTAAACACATTAAAGTAATAATTAATATATAATTACTTTGTATACATAGATTATAGTAAAAATAAAGTAACTTTTAAATAATCATTAGTTTTATATTAATATAAGTGTCAGTTTCGTTAATACAAGGTATGTGACCTGAACAAGTTATTAACTAAAATTTAATTTCTTGGTGCATAAAGTAGGGGAAATAAAACCTATGGATTACTCCTTCAAATATTAAAATTAATTCAGGTTTCATGTTAAAATTAATGCTGTTTTACATTTTTGCGCAATGGTTTGCTTCAGGATACTTAAAAATCACTACTTACCTTCACTTAATTCTATTTCCCTATACTCAGTTGGCCTCCTTTCTGCATTTAATAATTGCGAAATATTCAAGTTTTTAAAAAACCCACACCTGGCTGTTCTCAGGGCTTTTTTTTTCCTGGCTCTGTGTTCTTACTCCTGGTGATGCTCAGGGGACCAAATGGGGTGCTGGAGACCAAACCCTGGTTGGCTGCGTGCCAGACAAGTGTCCTGCCTGCTGTACTATATCTCCATCCCACTGGTATATTTTTAATAAATCAAATAATTTATCGATAAAATTTCTCTCCCATTTTGTCCTACATAGCTAGCCCCAACTGATTAGTTTGTGAGATGGAAAGCAATGAAGAAATCCACTTGGTAAAAGGGGGGGGGGGGGGGGGGAACTAAGGTATGAATGCTAACAAAAGAAACAGAATATATTTTCAAATGGGCTTGGCAATAATCTTGACCTACATCTACAATAATCCATTTTATACTATGCCTGTTGGTATTTCTATCAGCATGGGATATTTTAATAATTAATAGATTCTGTACTATTAATAAATCTGAAATACATTATAGTCCCAAATCTCAACTAGCGACTATAAATATGATCATAGTGATAAGGATATATCCATGATTATGCAAAAATAAAGTACTAAAAGCCATAAATATATTTACACAAAAAGTGTTTGAAAAGCCAAAAGGATTTGCAGAAACCTGAACGATTTTAGATTTTAACTCAGCTTCACAATTCAACACCCTGACCTCCTTGCACTTCTCTACCTCCTTCTCAGAAATGAGCATCATAACTACTTATTTTTCTCCCCTCGGAAAAAGATGACTTCCATATTGCAAAATAAACATGCAACATGCAGCATGCAAAAAAAAAAATACCTTAGGTGTCTTATTTTCAGGGTCTGTTGGCATGGCCAGTGCACAAGGAGAAGGCAACTCGTTGGTTCTTAGAGAGCTGGGAGATGACCTGTGGTCAGACCAGAAGCTTTCAGATTTCCCTAGTCTTGAAGGCAAGTTACTGCTACCACAATTTGAGGGTATTGCCTGGGAGGGCGGATTAGCAGGAGGGACATGGGAGGACCTCAAACCGCGAAGAGAGTCAGAGCTAGTACTTGAGTCAGGAACTGCGGGAGTAGATGAGGGAGTCTGCCCCTGGCCAGAGAGCGTTCTCTTGGATCTGTTTAGCAGATTTGAAAGAGCTGGGGAAGGATAAAAACGTTTCTCTGGAGAGGGGCTCACAGCTCCTTTGTTAGTAGGAGACTCAGAAGACAGTGCAGAGGAGGTTGATGGAGAAGGATGCGTGTGAATGTTCTTGGATCTTTCTGGACCCCTGAGCTCATCATCATGTTTGTCCTTGCAAGAAAGAGGAGAAAGGCTTGGTGGAACAGGAGGAAGCCCTGCAGAACTTGCCCCGGGTTGCAAGGAGAGGGCTGGATTGCTCTTCCAAGAAATAGGTGACAGTGCTTTCTCTACTTCCAAAGAAAGAAGGCTGCTTCGGGCATGTTGTGTGGGAGAAAGGGCAGGCACCTGGGAAAGGGGGTCTGATTTAGTGAAAAGGGGTAAGTGAATGAATTGCTGAGGAAGCTCGGGAATCTGGTGTTCTCCTTGCTCGGGGGTTCTAGCTCTCAGGGAACAGCTGGAGAGAGACTTTTTCGGCAAGGATGTGGTCTGTTTGACTTTCTGATCAAGTGTGAGCGTGGAAGAAGCCAGGGAGTTGAGAGAGAAGGTGGGACAGGACGCAGGGGAAGAGGGCCTTTGGTGAGAAGGGTTTGATTTGAGGATGGCAGTGAGAAGGGAGAGTCGAGATGGCACTGCAGATTTTCCCCCTGACTTGGAGAGGCTGCCACTAGATGACATTTGGCTACAGATAGTCGAAGAGGAACCGTGGAGGGAAGTCGAAAATGGTTTGGGGCTTGGAGAGAGTGAATGCATGACAATACGGACTGGTATGTAGGACGCAGAACTGGACTTCAGAGAAGCACTGGACAATGGTGTGGGAGAGCTTCTTGCCTTTTCTTTGGGACTAAGGACAGTTGAGGCTACAGGTGCTGTCTTCTTCAGAACTTCGGGAGTCGGCCCAGGTGCTTGTTCAGCTGCAGGTGTGCTGGGTAAGTTAGAACCTGGTAAATGAGCAGAATATGGGGCCTGTACTGACGGGCACGTGCCCCTGGATGAGATGAAGGGCGAAGAGTGAGCAGAAGTTTGGAAATATGTAGCAGTTTCTTCCACCAGAGCCCCGCCGAGATGCAGTCTCCTAGTGTGGAATTCCTCTAGCACAGAGGCTCCGGCGGGGGTCGCTGGGCCAGGTGGTGTTTGCTGATTAGTTGGAGAAACAAAGGAGAAAGCAGGCGGTTTACAGGCATGCTGGTCAGAGGTGGAGGGAGAAGAAGTTAACTAGAGGAAAGAGAAACACAGATCGTCACAGGACACTACTCGCAAGATATCCAGAGACTCTTGTCACTTGCATATTTACACAAACAGTTCTTCTATTAGTTAACACAAAAGAGGTGAGCAAAACCTCCTGAAAATGGAAGAAATTGTTTTGCTAATGAGGTACTGCTTTAGATGTGAAATCAAGATGTAAATAAATCACAAAGTATGGTATTCTGCACCCCAGAATGAAAATCAATGTGAAAGTTTATTTGCATGCTTTTGTTCGAAAGTTATTAGTTGGCTAGAAGTTATCATTTGGAAAAAAAAACTCATATTGGAAAACATAATAGATTTTCTTCCATTTTAAGAGGATAAGTCATAAAATAATGATAATGACTACAATCCTTGAAGATTTTAATCACAGTCCGAATGTTTAAAATTCTAAAATTTTGGGCTACTCCACATATTGATAATCCTAAACAATGCCTGGGATTCAAAAGTTTTAGCAGTCATTATCAATGAAAAATTAAGTGAGAAAATAAAGTCAGAATAGAGGGGTTTCAGATTTTAAAAATTTTTTTTCCTTTAGCTATTACCCAGAATTAAAATTTAACAAGCAATTTGGATTGTGCTGAAATAGTTTCTATAGCCAAAGAATCCAGAATACTTGAAACACATAAGCATCCTAAAACAATGAAGTCCAACCAGTCCCACTTCAAACAACAACAACAAAAAAAAACAAATAATATACTTGTTTTGAACAGTCTGTTAAATGACTAGATATATGCATTCTCGTGCTATTCTACAAGTAATCCAGTATGTTAAGACTGGTCACGATGGTCACGATTCTCCCGTTGTTCATCAATTTGCTCGAGCGGGCCCGTAACATATCCTTCGTAAGACTTGTTACTGTGTTTGGCATATTGAATACATCACGGGTAGCTTGCCAGGCTCTGCCGTGTTGGCAAGATACTCAATAGCTTGCCGGGCTCTCAGAGAGGGGTGGAGGAATCGAACTCGGGTCGGCCATGTTGGCTGCGTGCAAGGCAAACGCCCTACCACTGTGCTATCGCTCTAGCCCATGTTAAGACTACTGCTGAACTAATAAGCTCTTTTAAGCACAATTATTTTAAGTAGATATTTTCCTTCAAATCTTGATTTGAGTTCATCAATCAGTAAGAGAAAGGAAAATACCTGTGTCCAATAAAGATTTGAGGGAGCATAAGTTAGTTGAAATATTATGTGCTAGCTACCCCTGATGTATTTGATATGCCAAATACAGTAACAATAAGTCTCACAATTTGTTGTGAGATGTTACTGGTGCCCACTTGAGCAAATCAATGAACAACAGGATAAGTCATAAACAAGTGCTACCGTGATTATGTATATTACATACACAGATATGCATACATAGACACATTATATAGCAGAAAAAACACACAACTCTATACTACCAAACTTAGCAAATGCTTGACAAATGCAGTGAAAGGTATTTTTGCTTTATCATACATTTTGAAGATGTTAAACAGACCTAATGCAAAGATTTTCACAAGCTTTTTAGTACGTTTAAAACTGATAAATTCAAATAACTCATCTCAAACTTGTTTCTGAGATAACGTACCCAAAATATTTTCTTTTTATATGTAAATTATTTTGTGTATTTGGAGCACAGAATTCTTGCCATCTAAATACTAGTTGAATACAATGACACAACCCAGAGTACTGAAAAAAATCAGGGATAATTGAAAATCAAGCAGAATTCAATCAAAGTGAGAAACAAAACTTATCAGATCTCTCACATAAGTTTTATTTAGAAACAATTCTGCTCAGCCAGTATTTAGATAATTGATTCATGTAATTAGTCATAAGTGAAAGTTCTTTTCTAATTGTTGTCAGTGATGGCTTCTTCCTCAGAGAAGGAACAAAGAAATTAAGACTATAGAGTATTTTTTCATATTATTCCAAAGCTGTTTGATAAAGAATTTTGTAAACAGTTACCTTTTTTAGAAACAATTTTCTAAATAATTTCAATTTATATAGCAAACATTAATTCACCCTAATTGTATACCAAATAATTGCTATGTTAAAGTCATGGGGCCATAGTTTCAAAAGTTTCATTTAGAATAATTAACAATAAGTCTATTTCCTCTTTCTCTGAACTATGGCTTCTAATTACCATATATTCTTCTCCATGAAGTCATATGTATCTACATAATTCAGAATTTTATTATACTTTTATAGTTGATTGGGCTGGAGCAATAGCACAGTAGGTAGGGTGGTTGCCTTGCATGCCGCCAACCCGGGCAACCTTGGTTCTATTCCTTCACGCCTCTCGGAGAGCCCAGCAAGCTACCAAGAATATCTCGCCTGCATGGCAAAGCCTGGCAGGCTCCCCTGACTTATTCGATATGCCAAACACAGTAACAACAAGTCTCACAATGGAGACGTTACTGGGCCTGCTCGAGCAAATGGATGAACAGCGGGAGGACAGTGCTACAGTGCAGAATGCCTTATACACTTGTATTATCTATTGTGATATAGTCATTTCTAGTTTGCAATCACATCTAGAGAGTATCCTAGTTTATATTAAGATAAAAATATAGCACCTTGGGTTGTTTCCAAATTTTAGCTATTGTGAACAGTGCTGCAATAAACATGTAGGTACAGATGTCATTTCTACTGTGCCTTTTTGCATCCTCGGGAGATATTCCCAGAAGTGGTATTGTGGGGTCACATGGAAGCTCGATTTCCAGTTTTTGAAGGACTGCACTCATTTGTGGAGTATAAAACAATATAACATGCGACTGACACCTAAGGACAGTAGACACACGGGACAGATAGATTTCTCCATAGCTGGAAGCCTACCTCATGAGCAAAGGCAGCTGGAATAGGGAAGGGATCACTAAGAAAAAGATGGCTGTATATCCCCCAGATGAATGCAATCTTTCTATGTCTATCCCTCTCTTTCTGACTCATTTCGCTTAGCATGATACTTTCCATATTGTACCACTTGTATGTAAATTTCATGACTTCATCTTTTCTAAGAGCTACATAGTACTCCATTGTGTAGATGTACCAAAGTTTCTTTAACCAGTCATCTGTTCTTGGGCATTCAGGTTTCTTCCAGTTTCTGGCTATTGTAAAGAGGGCTGCAATGAACAAACAAGTGCAGATGTCACTTCGACTATACATTTTTGCCTCTCTGGGATATATTCCCAGGAGTGGTATTGCTGGGTCAAATGGGAGCTCAATTTCTAATTTTTTGAGAATCGTCCATACTGTTTTCCAGAAGGGCTGAACCAGCAAAGTATGAGATTAATACCCAAGAATAGCTGAGACCAGCACCAGGAAGATTACTCCATAACTTAGAGGCCAGCCGGGTATCCTAGAGGAAAGGGCTATTCAGATAGAGAAGGGAGCACCAAATAAAGGATGTTTGGAGGATCCTCCCAGGAGGGGAGATGCATGTCGAAAGTAGACTATGGACTGAACATGTTTGCCACTCAATGCCTCTTTTGCAGACCACAACACCCAAAAGGAGAGAGAGAACACAGGGGATTGCCCTGCCACAGAGACAGGGGGGATGGGGGGATGGGGGTGGGAGGGATATTATCCATGGTGGTGGAAAATGGGCACTGGTGGAGGGATGGGTATCTGATCATTGTATAATTGAAACCAAAGCACAAAAAATTGTAAATCTACAACTTTAAAAAAAATAAAATAAAATAAAGGGGGAAAAAAAAAAAGAGAAAAAAAAAAAAGATGGCTGGAGGAATCGGTCAGGATGGGAGATGTGTGCAGAAAGTAGATAAAGGACCAAACATGATAACCTCTCAGGGTCTGTATTGCAAACCATAATGCCCAAAAGTGGAGAGAGATTATGGGGAATCATGTCTGCCTTGGAGGCAGAGGGAGGGTGTCAAAGGGGGTGTATACCAGGGATATTGGGGGTAGGGAATGTGTACTGGTGGAGGGATGGGTGTTTGATCATTTTGTGATTGTAACCCAAACATGAAAGCTTATAACTATCTCACAGTGATTCAATAAATTTTTTTAAAGTAGTACCTTATTTTTAGGAAATTATCAGGAATAAGAAGTGAATTTTTTTACGAAAGAGTTTATTTTCCTGAGCTCCTCTAATAAGGTTTTTTGTAAGGAGGTAGAAAAGACATGAATAATCTTATGAGAAAGAATGAACATTTTCAAATGCTCAGTCCTGGAGTTCAGAAAAGATTCTTTACATTAGCTCTTCCCTGTAAATCACTTAGCAGTGATGATAAACTTCTCTATCACAGCCTACAAATCTTTCCATCACTTCATCCTTCTCCATAATAACCTTTATGTTATTTTTTCAGTTTATCTACTGAGATTCTAATACTGTCTCTTTTAAACCTATTCTGTCTTTATTATTTATTTCTGACCTTGCCCCTCTTATTCCTTCACATCAAACACCTCTCTCAAGTCACATCTATGCTCTGCACTAATTCCCAGACCCCTTCTGAGTATCCTTCTTACGTTTGTCCTCCAATAAAACTCTATACTGAAAAGTCTTTCCTGAACTCTGAAATATACTCACAATAATATCAACACCAGAGGATGCTTTCAGTGTTCTGTTCCCAAGTGGAGGATTTTAATCAAGCATCCATTGCTATATAATAGAGACTATTCATATTTTTGCAATCAAACTCATTGCAATAAATTATTTGGATTTTTTTTATAATCTACAGTTAACTAGAGGCTGGAGAGATAGTTCAATGGGTAGTGCTCTTGCTTGCACAGGTTCAATTCCTGGCACCTCGTATGGTTTTCTGAGTCCCATCAGGAGTAATCCCTAAGTGCAAAACCAGGAGTAGACCCTGAAGATCACTGCGTGTAGCACAAGCCCTCCTCAAAAAAAAAAAAAGTATATACAGGGTTAGCTAAAGTTATTGTTCTGCTATTCAATCTTCTGTATAGTTCTTCTGAATAGTGCAGAACATGAGTAACCCCTGAGCATTGCCAGATGCCCCCTCCCCCATGCA